GATTGGGTTGATTGGTCTTATTGGATTCTTTGTCTTATCATCCTATGCATCTTACAAAATGTGTTTTAGTACTTGTTGCATGTGGTGGTTTATAGTTAGATATCTTATCTCTGGAGATGATATTAATGTGATGTAAAACACCAGAATACAACCACACGGGTAATTATGCTGGTACTGGTCCATTTCAGGTTAAAACATGAATACGATTACCTGCAGTCTAAATCAGACCCTGGTGACTAAACAATTACAAAAAACACTAAAAATGAAAATATATTCTGTTGGTTTATTTTACTGAAGTCTTTTAATTGTATATTTAGTTTTTTTATTACTTAGTAAGTGAATGTGTATTACACAGATTTTGGTTCTTATTTTATTGTATTTAGTTCAGCTCTTCTTCAGTTCTTTTTTTTTTTTTTTTTTTTTTTTTTTTTTTTTTTTGTCATTTTGCTTCAATAATAGCTGTTTTATTTCATTACTGGTTGTTTCCTGTTTTGAATGCCGGAACAAGAACTTTTGGGATAGACCAAACATGTTCATCTCACCTTAAATACTAATTAAATCAAACGAAGCATTTATCTGCTTTTTTTTCTTATACCTTACTCTTTAAGAGTAAAGTAAAAGAGTAAAGTGCAGTTGAAGATTTTCAGTAACATAACTTTCCCTAACATGTTGTTATTTGCCTTTTAATCCCTCTCTAACTTATAGTACAAAAAAATGTCGCTTTCATTGCAGTTTTTTTTTTTTTTTTTTTTATATGACACTGGGAGAGTGAAACGAGAAAAGATTTATTGAATCTGATATTTCTCTCAAGTGTTGTTTATCTATACAGTTCAGGGTTATTCATTTCAGAACTGCTGCTGACTGAATTCAAGCATATTTTTTTTTGTGTATGTGTCTGTGTGCGTTTAAGACTTATTCACAACAAAACTTAACTGTGATCTTAAGGATGTGTTTAGGCAACAAAAAATATGAATTAAAATTAAGTCCTTGCATCTCTGTAGGAGGTCACTCCGATGGAGGAGGAGATGCTAAGTGTGGAGAGGAGAGAAGAGCAGAAGAGGTGCTGGTTGGAGGAGCTGGACCGTCAGAGAGAGGAGATGACTGAGCGCAGGAGACGAGAGAAAGTGCTGCAGAGTCAGGTACAGCGGGGACACGGCACAGACCAGGCAGGTTTGAGAGGTCAAAGTTGTCCCCCTGAGTCTGGTGTTGTTGTGTCTGCAGGCGGAGGACCACGAGCTCTGGGCTACACATTTTGACTCGCTGCAGAGGAGGCCGCCTGTCCAGCCTGCAGTTCCATCAGCGCTGCCACCGGCTCAGTTCAGCAGCTCTGATCGGGGCGAGTGGGAGCCCTTGTCAAGCCTTTCCCTCATCTGGGATGCTACGAGCAGCTGTGGAGCAGACAGTGTCGCAGGAAACAGTGTGGATACAACCCGTGGGTACCCAACCAGGGCCAGGTGGGAAGGAACGTCTCGTCAAATATTTAATAGACTCTTTGTACACGATCCATGGTGACTTATTTGTGATGAGCTGCAGATGTATAAGTGTATATATTTAGTTTGTTTGTTTTCCTGTGGTATGTACAGCTATCTGAGGACCATGACCTCCCTGTTGGATCCTGCCCAGATGGAGGAGAGAGAGCGGAGGAGGCTAAAACAGCTTGAACAGCAGGTAGGAGGAGGCACAGAGAAGAGATCAGTGAATGTTTTTCTCACCAAGATTCCCTAAATTTTATCTTTTCTTACCAGCGAGCTATCGAAGCCCAAGTGGAGGAGCGTCGTCTGCAAAGGGAACGAGAGGAGGCGAAGAGGAGACAGGAGGAGGAGGAAGAAGAGAGGAGGGTGGTGCTGGAAAGGGAAATGCTGCAGAGACAGTATGAGATGGACACACTGAAGGAGAGGGAAAAGGTCAGAGACAGACTATTATACAGAAACATTTACGTAAACTCTCTGCACTCCTTTATTTCTCCGATTTTCTGTTAAACATTTTCTGATGAGGATGAAGCTAACTGTACTTATCTGAAACTGTTTCATTGTGTTCTTCATCTTTAGGAGCAATCGATCAATCAGGAGGAGCAGCTAAAAAAAAGCAGCCATGATGGCAGATTGCATCAGGAACTGGAGTCCAACGGTCAGTAAGACCTGTGCTTTGAAGCACAGGATTCAACCACATGGTAATGCTGCTAAAAATATAGAGTCTGGGTCCAAATATACATATCTTTTATTCTACTGAGTGGCAGAAGTACAGAACGTGGCCTCAGAAATAGTTTGCAGAGTTAATCAATGCCAAACAGTAGATCGAACCACTGTGAGGATTATGGAGGGAGTCATTTTCTAAAAACTTGAAATGTAATCCACTTCTGCCATGAACCAAAACTGCTGCTGAGAGACTGATAAACAGCAATGAAAGTGATTTCCACCCACAGGAATTAGTTTCATTAGTATCCTACCAAGGAACCAACTCATTGTGCTCATTTATGTTTAATGTTTTCTGGTTTCTGACAGAAGAGAGCGTTTCACTCCCAAACTGTTTATTAAACACACCTGCTCCAGGATTTGCTCCCTCCTGTGTAGCACTGGTGACAGCTGATTAAAATAAAGTGAGTTGCAGAAGATGTTGAAGTAAACATGTTTGTAATAATCAGCTCTGTGTGTGTCTGTTTGTGTTTTCAGCAGTTACCAGGCAGGCTGAAGATTTGGAGGACACCAGCACTTCGGGTTCCTCTTACAAAGACGCTGCTGTACAGACAGGTAACGCATCTAATGCTACTACACCCACTTATACTGCTGCTGTGGGAGACCGTATGTCTGCGTCTCTCAAGTCTATCTGCACTGAGCCACTAAAAAAAATCTGTTTCCATGTTTGTGAGATTGAAATGTTTCAGTGCAGCATCAAGGTGGAGTAAAAAGAGCTTTGAGTCCTCAATTAGAGCAGAGAATGCACTGTAACTACCAGTTTACCTTCTAGTTTATGACTAAATTAGCAAGATTTAATTAAAGTTGACCCATTCTGCCCATTTTCAGATTTTTCTCTCTAGACAAGCTTTGCATGAACAGCAAGCAAACTTGGCTTCTGTGGTCACAGTCGGAGCTGTGTGTCTAATATGACCGTATTAGGGACATCCACTCTGACGTCATTCATATCTAAGTGTAGGAAAACAGAACTGTCTGAATTCTGCTGGAGGTGATGTCATTGTTGGAAAATGTGTCCATGTTTAATATGAATATCCACGATTGTCTCTCTCGCTCTTTTGCCCTCTCTTTCTATGGGTATTTAATACCTTTGCAGTATTTTATATTTTCTGTTTTTCTACAAGATAAATGAGTAAAGAGGCTCTCTGTCAATATATTGATAAAGTTGTAGCGGTGTCATCTTTACCTCTTAGGTCCTACAAACTTGAACAGGCAGACTCAAAATTTGTTTAAATGATTCTTGTTTTTTGTTTTGTTTTTTTCCTTGTGTGAGCAATATTTCTAGAAAGCTGCTCATTATTTCCTGTACAGTACAAATCATTTTTTTGGTTCAGCCCTATTTAATATTTGCTGAAAGGCCTCATATCTGTATGTTTTTATTTATCCCTCTCTCTGTGCAGAAGCTGCTCCTTCTCTGCCGCTCAGAGCTCAGACTCCAGATGTCTCAGCGCAGCCTCCTCCATCTCTGCCCACCGCTGCTCCTCCTCCAAACAGCAGGAGCAGAGCGTTGAGAACAGGGAAGGAGAACATTTGTCTGCCAGCAGGAGGAGACCCATATGAGCCGTTTGCCAGGACAGAGAAGAGCAGGAGGGACAAGAGGAGACCTGAGTGGAACACTCAGAGGTAGAAACTCCTAGACCATCACACTCTAGTACATCTGAAACAGGGATTGTATTGATATTATTTTAAAAATCTCTCCCTACACATCCTCTGCTTCAGGCCAAACCGTCAATTCGTTCCAGCCTCAGAGCGTTACCCAGCTGCTCTGCAGAGGAACAGACAGGAGAGTCGACTAAAGAGGCAAGCTGAGCTCCTCGCTCTGCAGGAGAGGACCTGTCTGCCGAGGACCGACCCTCCTCTTCCTCCTCCACCCCAGGAGCTTCGCCTGTGCCCTGACATCATGCAAACCAGAACCAGTCCCACCAGGAAGGTAGCCCCCCCCCTACCAGCTTCTTAAAAAGACTTTTGTTACTTCTAGTTTTCTCTGCTGGCTGGAGGTCATTTGTAACCCTCCCAGCTGCAGGTGAATGTGTGTGTTGATGACTGCTGCTGTTTCAGGTGGAAACCAACTCCAGAGGGCACATCATTTCCACAGGCTTAAACGCTGAAAGGTGAGCAGCGGACAGTAGACTCCAATCAGAAGGTTTTAATATTCGAACAGATTCTGAAAGTTTTTTTAAAAATTTTTTTTAGGAGGATTAAAAATTTCAGGAAAAAAAAGTTTGTGCAGTTTGTAACCAGAAAGCCTAATTTTTAGTAATTAGTCCAGCAGCTGTGCATGGCGGGGTTGGGACTCCCTCTTCAAAACTGTGTGGCCACTACAACTATGTGCTTAGTTTTAGTCTGTGTGGTGAATGTTGTAGATGTTTATTGAGACTTGGATGTCAGTGTTCTGTGTATTTTAATACACAAAATGATAAAAACTTACCTGCAAACTCACTCTTTAAACTAACATAAACTGAAAAATAAGACTAACTAAATTGAATAAACTAATAGAACAAATGGAAAACTGTATTAAATTTGGTCAGCCCGCAATTAAAATCGTTATAAGATTGTATTTTCAGCCAGTTTTCAGGTAGTTTGGTTGTGCATTTTATTCTAGACTAAAAAATAAGAAATGTAAAGGGCTTTTTCATGTTTTGTTTTGTTTTTTGTCCTCCAGAGGGCGCTCTCCTCCTGTCCCTGCAGTCAAACACAAAGCGCAGAGTCAGCATGCCTCCAATACTCTTCCTCTTGTCTCGGAGTTCATTCCTTACGTCAGGACTAATGAAGTCTTCAACCTGGACCCTCTGGAGCCCGCTGACACTCCTCCACCCCTCACACACTCAGGTTAGACACACCAAACTAGATGTAATGATCCCCAAAATTTTCAAGTTCCAGCCTCGCCATTGACACAAATTCTACGATACAGTAGAGGAAATGATTTGGGTTTGAAAGTCACAACAAAAACTAGATGCTTATTCAAGTTTAAGCCTTCATGTAAGTACAGTATTGTTACACGATGGAGTAACATAATTGTATCTGCTTGTTCAGAGTTTTATCCCACAAATCCCCAAAACGTTGAAAACCAATCAATTAATTGCCTGACAGAAGAAATATTTTGCATAATTCTCCTTTCTCACTCTTAGAATCACCAGACTTTACAAAATAGGCTCAATGTTTCTATCAGTGTGACCTGAAAATAGTGAATGAGCTCGTGAACGCATCAGGAAAGTGTTTACTGAGGTCAAAACTGAGGGTCATTTCGCCACAGACTTCTACATAATCTTTATATAACCAAAGGTATCACCTCTGGTGGCCATTAAAAAAAGATATTCAGGATTATTCTGACCCTGGAAGTTGGGTCCATTTTGTATTCCCATAACTTCCATAACTTTCATCTAATGTCACTTTGAAAGTCTTTGCACAGAAACAGATAAATCTTTATTTCTTTTTGTTAGACAATCATGATAACTGCCTGATCTTTAGTTGGATAAAACAATCCACTCCTCTGGGAGTAACTTAAAACCTTTTTTCAGGTAGCAAACTTGGAAACAGCGGCACATAAATGCAGAGAAAAACCTCTGAGCATGTTACTGTGCATCAGTTTGCATCTAAATAAATGTTCTCTCCTGTTATAGGAGCGCCTCCTCCATCACATCGAGACCCCCTCCTCCACCCAGAGCTGCTTCGTAACACCCACATACACCGACAGCAGGAGATCCTCAGAGGCCTGGCTCAGCTCCGCCAGGTAACACACGCAAAAAAAAACCCCCCACACACAAGGTGTCCTTACAGAGAAAACCCCAACAATCAAACAACCTGCTGTGAGCAAGCGCTTGGCAACAATGGGAAGTAAAAACTCCCTTTTAGCAGGATTAAACCTAAAGAACCAAGCTCAGGGAGGGGCCAGCCATCTGCTGGTAGGGGGTTGGGGGAGGGAGACGGGACAAAAGACACACTGTGAAAGAGAGCCAGGAAGTAATCATTCTCCGACTTAGTTATGTCAGGGTCATCATTCATTATTACTCACTAATAATGTATGATGACCCTGAAACCAGGGTTAGCAGATAAAGTCTGCTGTCTTTATCTGCTGATTCTCCTGAAGTCTTGTTACAGAGTCTGTTACAGCGTTTCCGCCAGTGTATTACAAACCCAGCAGTCTGCCGCTCTCCTCTTCTCAGTAAATTCAGTTGCCTCAAAATGAGCAGAATAGTTTCCCCGTCACGCCTGTGTTGATCCACATGAAGACGATGAGTGATGAGCATCCTCACCTGTACAAACTGTGTTTGTGTGCTCTCAGGGTTTGTTACTGAAGCAGCGGGAGCTAGAGTCAGATCTGAATCCTTCCCGGAAGCATCGCGACGAGCACCGGATTCCCTCGACATCACACCGCACGTGACCTCCGACCTGTGTCAAATAAAACCTCAGCACTCTCATGTGAGTGCATTTATTTTGATACTACAGAGTCCTTCAGACTTGATGACCTCAGGAGGTCCAACCCTTGAGGGGACAGATGATCAGCGTACTAAAATGTCACAAATCAGCAGTTGACTCCCCTGCACCTATGACCAGGAGATACAGTTTAGTTTAACAGTGAAACAGTAACAATCTAACAATGAGTTCAAGCAGAATAACCCCTGAATGAGTCACTGAGTGTAATTCTCCATAAACTCTTCTTCCCACTGCACAAAAAGGAAGAGTAAATATTCCCGAGATGGTTGTAGCTCTCATGAGCTGCTCTTTTATAAAAAAACCCAAATTAAATCATTATTTTTCTTAATATTACATTTATTTAACATTGGGGACACAGCGAAGTTTAAATTCTGTTAAAGCTGAAAGCTGAAATTGCAATGTTCCTTGTCTACTAGCAGGATTCTTGAAAATGTTCTGGTTGGATAGGCATACAAAGTTTGCCCTTTTCTTGGGGGTCATTCTAAACCAGGGAAATTTTTTTTTCCCCCCTGGTTTATAATAGTCCTTAAAAAAAAAAAAGCCTTTAAAAAAAAAAAAAACAAAAAAAAAAAAAAAAGCCAGGAGATGGAGTACTGAACTACAGGTGTCATGTTTTAAGCACAAAAAAAGGAAAATGGTAATAAAACAGAGTTTAAAAAAAAAAAAAGGTTCATGCTGCATAAAAGCTGAACTGGTGTGAATATGTCAGAGTAAACTCATCCCTCAGAGCTGCAGAGGGGAGTGGTCCACGAGTCGGACACCGTGGTGGCTGAAGCTCAGAGCTAAAGACTCTGACGGGAAACTGACCATCCAGCGCTCTGCAGGTGTACTTGAACGCAACGTCCAGCGCTCTGCAGGTGTACTTGAATGTGACAGTGAACCAGTGATGTGGACGTGGGCACTGAGCAGATATGAAAGCCTATTGATAATCATCATAGCTAAAGATGAAATCCTTTGTAGTATCGAGGCCCCACCTACAGACCACCAACAAGGGGTGGCCTTAGACTGTATATAAAAGATGGACATAGCCACTGTGACATCACCCATTTGTTAGTTGATGCTTTTGAAACTAGGCATTGCAGATGAGGTGTGGATGTAACTAAAATGCTCGTAGGATACTGACATGTCACACCCGCCTTAAAAATTTTTATCCTTTTTTTTTTTACTCTGGTGACCATAAACATGCAGTCTTCAGTTTCAATTATGTTTTTAATTACTTACGGTTGGTGCTCAACAGGACTTTTAGACATTTTTACATTTAGTTCTACTTAAAATACTTGAAGCTTTTACTTGCCCTAAAGAAGATTCTTTATTAACAGGTTGCTAACAAGACGACAGAAGCTGTCGGGGAACATTAAGTCTAATCGAGCCAAACACAGGAGCTCAGTGGCCACGCCCCTAAAGTCATGTAACTGTAGTGTAGTCTGTTTTGAGTTTAACAGTAAAATTAGTGAATTTTACTAGTCTTTCCCACAGAGCCTGTTTTCTGCAATAATCAAAACCCGAGCTGTAGCAATGCCAGCTTCTGTATTGATCAACTGTGTTAGTTTCACCTCTCAGACCTGGATGTCCATCTTTTACATACAACTCATCTCTGCTGAGGTTGGTGGTTGAGTTTCATTGTGGGTTACGTTGGGAGCTGTTTTTGGAACAAGACGGCAGAATGAGGTGACTTATATCATCTTGTGGCCTCAGTTTATTTTTGCTGTGTTTTTCGTTCGTTCCTCACAAGTCCATGAGTTCAAGTAAAAAATCTGTCCCTTTTCTCTGAGGGAGGCTGTTAGATTTCACAGCCTGATGGGAAAATTTATCAAATTTTAGTGGCTAAAACTTCAAATATGAGGTTTTCTCTAAGAGACGCAAAAGTTAATTCAAACAGACAGCACTGAAACGCCTCCTCCAAACGGGAAGTCTTTCTCCTGCTGCTCACTGGCTGAGTTTCTTGGTGAATTGCGTTACATGAGGAACGTATTTTAATGTTTTTAAATGCACTTTTTTTTTTTATAAGAATGACATGGTATCTGACAACTGTTGAGTTTTTCCATTTTTTTCCTGCAGAGAAGTGGGGAACAAATGTTTCTTTATTTTCTGCTGCCTAAGAAGCTGTGTTTCTGTGTGATTTTCATTGTGCTGATGTATTTTTTTAATTTATTTTAAATGTAATTAAATGTTTGGAAACCTGTGGTTTATACTGACTTTCATTTCTTTTATGCATAGTTAGTTAAAACATGCTGACACCAGTTCATTCTGGTCAGATTCATTTTTGTTCTGGTTTGGTTCCCTGGTTCTGAGACAGTTTCACATGAGGTAAGTGTATGTACAGTAATCCCTGTGAGCCAGAAGCTCAGGCTGGAGAGCACTGTGAAGAGTTTCAGGCAGTAACAGTGAGGGGATATCTCTAATAATATGGGTCATCTCCAACACACAGCCCTTCTTCTAGTTGAATCCAAACTGACTGACACTGCGCCAGAAGAGTTGTCTGTGAGTCTTGGTTAACGTATTTAAACAGTGTGTAAACGCATGAAGCATTCAGGACTTTGGCAGCTTGATGTCTTCATGATAAATAATATCAACATCACTGTGGCTTCATCCACCTGTTACACTATGTTTGGAATTACTGACACCAGTGACTGGGAGCAGCTACTGTGTGATTTTCGCAGGCAGAAAGAGCACCACAGCAGCACCGTGCAAGAGGAAAGGGAAAAAGATATCAGTCAGAAACTTTGGAAAACCTCAACATTAATGCCGACTGTTAGAACTGCATTCAGAGCACCAAGTTTTATATAACGTTTATTATTTTAATACAAAAAAATCTGATATAAAAAAAGAAAACATAAAAAATGCTTTAAGTTAAAACCGGTCCACTCCAGAGTCTCTCCCTACATAAAATTTAACACAAACAGCTCAGAGTGTAACAACCAAAACACTCTGTACAAACTAAACTTTTTTTACAGGATATAAACATCGTCCACAGGTATGAGGCAGTCTGTTTGTCAGCCTCCGGTACAGGTTACTCTGCAGTGCCATTTTCCACAAAAACAAAACATCTTCACAACAAAACAAAAACTTTACTTATTAAACGTTCCCAGAGTGTGAAACTGGTGCGTTCAGGGAATCTGGGAAAATGGGACTACCACTCAGAGTAATAAGAGTCACACTTAGGTCCAGATGATACTGATTTAAATGTGACCCTTCATTCAGTCAGAACCTGTCCTGTATCCACATCAGTACTGAATTCTTCTGTGACTGAGGTACACCAATTGCTGTGCTTGTTTTTATCTCTTGATCATGTCCAAAAACTGAGAAAGGGCTTCATCTTTCAGTGTTTTTCAAACAGACAGACATATTTGGTGCTTTGAGGTTTTTGGAGGCTGCAGAACTTCAGTAAGAGACAGAAAATAGTTGAGGACAACATTTTTTGATCTGATCTCAGACTGCCAGCCATCAGAGACAAATGTCTTCAGACATTTCAGTCACTCTTAGGTGCATAAAACAACTACAGGAGGGCTTGACAGTCAATATTTTTATGTGAGAAATAAAATTTTCACATTTTTGATGTTTTAAATGAAAAACATCAGAAACTTGATTTAAAAGAAAACAACTTATTGCTGATTCACACATTCACATATCTCCTGGGGTTTAAGAACAGCCCTGCAGGAGTACAGGTTGAATAAGTTTGTGTTTATAAGTTTGAATACTGTACAAAGACCTGCAGCACTGACATAAAATTAGTGTGCGGCATTTTCAAGACACGGTCTTGCACATAAAAAGAGGTGATGAGCCCTGACTGACAGAAACATGCAGATTCTTTGACCTCCTGGGATGATTCAGGATCAGAAGCAGACTATACAAACCATCTGAAGCTTGCATACTTTAAGACTCTACTCTACTCCACTTTTGAACCACAAACAACATGAATTTTTTTTGTGGTGCAATAACCTGGCTAAAACAATGATCTTTTTTTGTTTTGTTGTTGGAAACAGAGCGTGGACACCTGTCAGAGTTTGGCCTGTTCAGATTCCAGGCTGTTAGTTTTCTGGGGTCATAGTTTAATCTGCTGGTTGTCTACGTCCCATTAAAGCCTCCTCGCTGCCCCCCTCTGTACCTGAAGCCGCCCGGACCTGCAGGGCTGTGGTACCCTCCCAGCAGTGAAGGACCTGTGAAGTCCATAGCTGCCTGCTGGAAACCCCAGACCAGGGGGACAGCACCTACAGGGCCTAAACCTCCAGGCCACAGGGGTGGCTGCCCCAGGAGGCCCCTGATTCCTCCCAGGGCATTCAGGGGCCCCAGCATGGGGGCCCGGTGAAAAGGCTGTCCGTGGACTCGAGGTAGGTGGGGGTGAAGGAGACCAATGCCCCGCTGGCTGGGCGGTTGGTACTGCAGGTGTGTAGCACCCTGCTGCTGCTCGCTCACATGTTGCTGAGGGTGCTGGATTTGTAGTTGGGGCAGAGCAGGATGTGAGACACTCTCGTGGTTTGTGACCGAGGTGATGTTTCCAGGTACCTCACTGTTGCCCGGTGGTGCTGCCTCTTCTGTTTTTGGCTGTTCATAGCTGGCTTTTGTTTCACTACAGAAAGAGAAGCAGAAGAAGAGACTGAGCAGGAACCGGACTGTCAGAGGTTGAAAACTGAAATCAGCACAGCTTTTATGGATGCATGTCAGCATCACATGGAAACCTCTGGGCCACAAAATGAAGTGTACACAGAAGTGCCAGAAAGTGCAGTTGCACTAAGGGCCACTTGCGGCTCTAAAGGTAAGTCGAAAAATTCTGTTTGTATTTTATATGAATACTCGAACAGTCATATGTAACAGTCATATTACAAACTGACCTGTAAAAAAAGAGCAGGACTCAAACCAGCGTGTTATGTTACCTTGTTCTGTCCTCGCCCTCTGCTGGACAGGTGGTGCAGGGCGGTGCACTACTTTCGTCTGCTTTGGAAAACGCAGGCTCTCCATGTTGATCTGCTTCGCCGTGTGTCTGATTGCTCAGCGCTGTCACTACAGCTGCGTTCTGATTGCTCGGAAAGGCTGGCGTGCCATTATTGCCAGTAGCCTGGTTTCCTGCCTGTGAGCCCACCACTCGCACTGGAGTGCTGCCTCTCTGATCTTCAGCCTCTCTCCCTGCACTTCCTCCTCTCCTCCATCCCTCTGTACCAGGCTCCACCTTGTCCTCTCTCCTGCTGCTCAGATCTGGCTGCAGTACCGAGTGAATTGAGTCCAGTGTGGCTGCCACGGCTTTCCTACCTGGAGTAAGCTGCACTGAGTCAGGAGGACCTCCCTGACCCAAAGGAGAGGAGGGACTGTGTAGGAAGCCTTTCACAGGGTTGATGCTCAACTCTGCCTGGGACTCCAACTGCTGCTGCTGCTGCTGAAGCTGTTGCAGCTGCGCCTGACGCTCTGCCCGCAGTTGTAAGATGGCCTGTCGAAGAACCTCACAGTCAGCGTCCGAGTGGCGAGGGACCCCGTCCTTACAGGAGGCGTCAGGGACGAGCTGGTCAGAGGGGTGAGGGACAGAGGTTGGGAAGCCGGAGCTGGGCTGTGGAAGCTGCTGTGGTTGGGTGATAGAGGAGAGCGAGTGGTTGTGCTCTGGAAAGATGGACAGGGAGCATTCAGGACCCGAGACACAGTCACTATGACTCAGCTGACCCCCGACACCTGAGGAGAGAG